ACCCCTCCCGTCCACCCCACCCTTTTTGTATGATATAATTTTCTGTTTCTAGTTTCAAAGTATGAGGACAGTAATTATTTTCAACGAAAAGGCTGAAGGCTATTCTCATTCAAAACTTCGGCTCAACCACAGGGTATCCTGAATGGTGCGGGGTGAAAGCTGTCAAAATTCATGAAATACCGCAGGCAGTGAGTGAGCCAGGGTACTTGACGTTTTGAATGGGGCGAATTTTAATGACGAGACTGAACCTGACTTTCACCTTCTCACTTCCCTCCTTTCTTGTTTTTTTTTTCTTTTTACTTTTCTCTTTTTTTTGTAGTTCGTTAGTACTAGCACTTTAAGTTTGCTTCTTTCCTTCTAACTTCTGTTTTACCGTTTTCTCATTCATTTCTTCTTTTTTTTTCTCTCCTATATCTTGTTCCCTGTTTCCTTTTTTTTCTTCTTTTTCTTCGTGGTTATTTTTCTGGCTTACTGTAGAATAGATGGGTGACGTGAAGAAGCAGGAGAGTAAAAGTTTCATGAGAGCACCCCTGCAATAAAAATGAATAGCATGCCATGATCGCCGATGTCTGTCACAGATCTGGCACTAGATGATAATGGTGATGATGATGATGATGATGATGATGATGATGATGATGATGATGATGATGATGATGATGATGGTGATGATGATGATGATGGCGACGATAACGACGACTACGACAACGATGACTACCGAAGAGCTCATAATGTCGCTTGTAGCCATGTTTATGAGGTGCTACACTTGTCCATTCAAAGCACTCTTTGATATCACAAGGCCTTAAAAACAATATATTATGCGCCTAGGGCTAGAGGTGGGCAAAATCCGGATAAATATCCGGATAATCGGATAATCCTCAAAAAGACATTATCCAAATTCAGACTCTTAACTCTCTCTTCTCTTTCCTGACCCGTCTGCCGAAGTGGGTGCACCCATTTGTTGAAGTCATGCTAACCGGTTTGTCGAAGTGGTTCTAACCCATTTGCCGAATCGGTTCATAACATAATTGTTATTTAACGAAGAGGTG